TGGTGGTTCTGGGTAATGGCTAGTGGTGATTGGCAGCTATGATGATTATGGTTGAGAATGGTGGCGGTGGGTGGTGATAGTTAATAATGATGGGTGATGGTGGTGATGGTAGTGATTGAGGAAGGTGATAATGGGTGGTGGTAGCTAGTTTATAATGGTGGGCGGTGTCGGCTGTTGATACCCAATTTTGCCCTTATATTTTTTCAAGTAGTATATATACTTTCAAAATATCATTTTGCATCATTACTCAATTTACAATAGTTATACAAGTATTTTTTATAATTGTTTTGTAATGTTTAAAGCTTTAAAACTATTTTTTTGCAGTTAAATTACTTGAATATGTATTAATTACCCCTTTAATTATTTTGTGATAATTTAATCATCCAACTGTATTATTTGCATTCACATATCTGTTTTATAATATTTTACTTCATTTTATATAATTACATTTGCACTTTTTATGCCAAATACGTAATTTTGCAATAGTAGCCTATATTTTACAATAAATTGCATTTGTCATTCTATTTAAGGTCAAAAATATTTTTTTACATTTTTCTTAATCTTAAACTATTGTTTCAAAGTATTAAGTTGCATAAATAGCATTTTTTATATTTTTATTTCACTATTTTATTAAAATTATTTCCCCTCAATCCCCAACTTCAAAATTTGGCCCAAATTATACCTTATTTCTGGACTAATTAAGGTCCAATCAAATGAGCCCAACCCCAATCTTCCCTGGCCCAAACCAAACGACCCTTTTTCTTCCAACCCGGTCGGGACCCGTTTACTCGACCTGCCCTGCTTCCCTTTAATCACGGTCGTTGATCTCAGATGATCAACGACCCAAAATAATCCCTACCTTTTCCTTATATCCCCTTACCCTAAATCCTACTCCCATTCTCACACTCCAGCCGCCCCTAAATCCTCTACTCTCATCTTCTCTGAGAAACCCTAGCCACCACCCAAAATCTTCTCTGAATCCAAATCATCCATGGATTCTTACCATGATTTACTTACCTTTTCCGGATTATACCGCTATTACTTGTGTAAATATGGTGTTACTTAGTACTTTCCCATTTTTGGCAAATACCAGTTTCTGAATCAAAGGAGATCGGATTTACTCTCCAAGATTTGGACGATATTTTGTCCGTATATGTTCATAGCAAGGCTATGAGGTTCTGATTCACCAAGATCCCCGTCCAATTTCTTATCCTAGTCAAACTAGGGTTTACCTGGTTTCTTCTCCTAATCCGATTCTAAATTGATTTTTGCATGTTCTTCTTTCCTTGTTTATGTTCGATTGACTATATTTCCTTATTTATGTGTTGATTTTTATTACTATATAAACCCCTCCCCAATTTTCCCTTTACAAACTCGAATCGCTTTAGAACTACTGTTATTCTCTCACTTTTCACCTTCTATATTATTTCTGCTCTCTTGATTGTGGCTAGCTGAAAGCCAAGGCCACCAAAATCTTCTCTATTAACCTCCAGAGTGCGAGCACTGCTTGGGCTCACTGAAGTTCCTGTGAACTCTGACATACTAGGATCTGGGATTCTCATTGTTATCTTTTTTTGCTGTCATCGCTGAGATTCTAAGTTTCTCACTCTTTTGCTCGTTTATCTTCGCAACTGGTTAGCATTCTCTTCCCTTTACAGTCTTAATTATTACTCCTATACTTATTCATGTATGTGTATTCTGCGTGCCAACACTATTTGAACTTTTATAGACAAGCATGACCTAAGCTTCTTTGTTATTTGTGAACTCCCAATGTTATATTGTTGTATGCTTTCTGTAGTTCTATTGTCTCAATGACGTTCTGTAGTTCCATGTCCTCTAATATCAGACTTGATAGGCTTCAACATATGTAGTATATTTTCACTCTATGTATTTGACTCAAATGGTTTCTGGCCTTCTTAGGTTTTGTCTGATTGGTCATGCTCATCTTAGCCTCAATGTCGTGTCCTTTGCCTGTTATGAGATCATATTCATGCCTTGGATTTCTGGAACCTTTTGTAGAAACTGCTTGTTCAAAGTGTGCTTTAATGAATCTCTTCCTACTAGATCCTTTATGTATAACCTATTGTTTCATGCAAACTGATCCTCGACTCTCCCATGTTATAACATTGTCTTAATCTCTAACCAAGCACGTTTGTCTACGATTTATAACTCTGATAATTGTGTTCCCTTACTGGGCAATCCTGCACTCTTTAGCATTGCTTCTAAGATAAATACCAATGTGTAGTTCTCTCTCATGTGTGGTCGATTGGCATGAATCCTAATGTTTGTTTGTCCTGTTAGCCTATAGTGGACATGTTCTTTTGCCTACTATGAGTTCTTTAGAATCTTTGTGCTATAGTTAATGTCCATCAGGTTAGGTTTTATGATCAACCAAGTATGTTTGCCAAATTGTGCCCACTAGCATGTTGTTATGCTATTTGCAACCACATTCTCATTAGGTTTTCATGTTAAAACCTTTATATCAAGAATGTAAATTACCTGCTTCTTGTTTATGATTATGTTAGACTATCATTTAAAGGTCCTTAGGTTGTTTCTAGATCGTGCTTTACTGAAATGGTTTACTGTCCTATGATGGTCAACCTTGTCATTATCAAACTCTATTTCTGGAATTACAAAGCATAAGCTTGCCTCATTTGTGTCTTGTGTGCCTTCCCATTTAGCATGATCTTGTTTATATGGCTTGGCTAGAGCTGTTAATGGCTACAACTCTAAGAACTAAGGGATTAAGTTGTTCTATGAGTATTGTGTCACATGCATAGCTAAATTTAGTATCCATATGGGTAAGTAAGTTATTCATTGGACCTGGAGATGGGCCATGGTGTTGTTGGACCTGGGCACTGGATTCAAGTGCACTCTAGTTATCTTGTGAGCCTGTGGTTCTGTCCTGTTGTTTGTCCGGAGAGTAAGACTATTGAAGGCCTGGGATATTCCCGGGTTACTTTTATATTGGGCCTATAATTGCTTTGGTGGGCTTGTATTTGTTTCAGCCTGTGTTTTGTCATCTTCAAGTTTGTATTTCTTTATTCTTGGGCATGTAATAACTTGTAATAACGAACAATTAGGATTAGTGAAAATGGGGAACTTGGATACTTTATCTTTTGTATGAATGGGTAGAGATCATGCCTATAGGATCTTAATAGCTTGTTTACTCATCACGTCTCATTTTCTGAAATTATATCCACACAATGTTATGACTTGAATGGTTAGAGAGCATGCCTATAGGATCCAAACTGGACTTCTTGCACTTAGATATCATGCATATAGGAACTCAAATACTTCACCTATTCAACCTGTCTAATGCCCGTACACTATCAGAAACATGTTTGTAAGAACCTAAGTGTTTCACTTGTTCGCATGTTTACTTCTATGCACTATTAGATAACATGCCTATAGGATACAACAATGCAATACCTTTATTTATCTAGATACCATGGCTATAGGGTCTTAACTAATTAATCAATTGCTTCATGCTGCTTTTTAATGCTTCATTTAGATAGCATGCCTATAGGGATAAAGCATTTAAAAATCAAGTCCAATTGTCAATTGTTAGAAATCCTGCCCATAGGATGTTTATTGACACTATTAATCTTGTGTTTTCAAATGACTTCACTGCCTAATTATGCGACTATTAGAGATCATGCCTATAATGTACTATCACCTGCCTAAGGTGCATATCTATAAAATCAGCATTAGTAATTCAGAATTGTGGGATTGTTTTCACAACCTTATTACACAAACGATTAGATATCATGTTTATAGGACTTGCAACGCTCTATTTGCCTATACGTTAGTCCAAAAATTACAGCAGTGCCTATATAATACTGGAATCTAGAATCACATAGAAATCATGCCTATAGGACTTAATGATTCCAACATATCTTAATGCCGCCTACTGCCTAACCAGAAATTTGTTTGCGTGCTCACCTGCTTATGTGTGGAGGTTACTTGAGCCTTTTATTGCAATTATATACAGTCTTATATGTTTTTCATGTCGCCTAGTTTTATCATTTTGAGCAACCTAAGTAAAGTCTAGAACCACCTTATAGTAGGTCCAAAGCCTCCTGGACCATAGGCATGGGACGGGTAGTGCATGCATAGGGTACGACTTAGAATTGAATTAGAATGCTTTTAAGTAAACAACTTCAACATAGTAATCGGGTAGCAGGAGATGATAGTCTGTGCCCGCTGAATAATACGAGCAACCTCTACTTTAAGGGAGTTGCGAAGTATTATTTATGTTGCACGGAGTGATCCTTTAGGCTAAAAGACTTAGGACCCCTTTTTTTTTTCATTTATGTACTTGTTATCTATACTTAGTCATTTAATATAGACCAATGTAGTTGTATCCTTTTAGTCATTATGACTTGTACCGATTCTCATATGTTTTATTAAGACTCTACAACCTCTGAACTTCCCTTTTATTTATTTTATCGCCTAGCCTAATTGTATAATCCACATGGTCTAAAGTTCGGCCGAGACCCACAGTTGTGGACCTCGAAGAGTGACTAACATCTTCTCTTTGAGGTAATTTAAGCCCTTACCCGATCTTTGGTGGCGTTGACTAGTCAAATAGAGTTATTTGCAACTAGGTTCCCTAACGCACCTTAAAAATCATTAGGTGATGACTTTTCTCTTTTAATACCTCCTTTTAAAAGAGTTGTCACATGTCGAAGCCCGCTTTTGCGAGAAAACGGGGCGCGACACTGGCTATGGTTGTTGATAGTGATAGGGTGGTAGTAGTTGGTTGTAGTAGTTGAGGTGGGTGAGTGTGTAGTTGTGGTTGAGGATGGCCTCGACCTAGTTAATTACTATGCCTCTTTTTCCTTGTCTTTTTTCTGTTGGGTTGTCGTGCTGTCTAAGGCAATGCGGTATCATTCCCATGACGTACGCTGTTCTCCGCGTATGCTGAATATTCCCCATGGTGTTGGGAATTTAATTACTTGGTATAGGCTGGAGGGGATGGCTCTCATGGGATGTATTCATGGTCGTCCCACTATGGCATTGTACGTGGTGGCCTGGTCCATGATGTGGAATGTTGTCTCTAGAGTCATGCCACCATCCAAGACGGGGAGTGTAATTTCCCCGGATGTCCGCTCAACTGCATTATTAAAACCGGTTAGCGTGATACAACGTGACACTATCTTATTCTCGAGTCTCATTTGGGTAAAGACTCGGGGATGGATAATGCATGCGCCAATTCCATCATCCACCACGATACGTTTGATATCGGTATCTAAAATGCATAAAGTAATAACGAGGGCATCATTATGAGGAAAAGTCAAATCGTCGGCATCCAACTCATCGAAGATGATACTTTCTTCGAGTCTGCCATACCGTTCGCGGGTGATAGACCGCTTGAGCTTGTGAGTGGTGGTAAACTTCATGCCATTGATAGAGGCATCATTGCCGCCACCGATTATCATGTTGATAGTAGAGCTGGCGATGGCAGATTCGGCGAGCCTTAATGTTTACATCCTCTGGCAAAGTTAGTTCTCCCCTTATCGCTTAACAGCTCTTTGAGGTGCCCTTACCACAAAATGTTTACGACTTCTTGTTTGAGGGCGATGCAATCTTTTGTTTTGTGCCCACGTTCCTAGTGGAACTCACATAGGGCATCGGATTTCCTGGTGTTCGGGTCTGATCTCATCTTCGGCGACCACTTCACCTTTGTTCCGAGTTTCTCAAGAGCGTAAACTATTTATGTAGGTGACACACAAAAATTGTGAGCAGATAGTAAATTGTGTCCTTGGCCTAGATGGGCCTTTTTCATAGCGGGGGGAAAGGTGCGGCAACCGTCTTGATATATGGCTGGTGTCGTTCCCTGTTAGGTCGCGAAATTAGGTGATCCCTCCTCATGTTGTCTCTTCGTTCCTTTCTAGATTCGATTTGCACTGATGTTAGCCGGTGAGTTGGTCCGTTGAGTTTGTCTTCTTCTGCTTGGACCTTGGCGTAATAAGCATTGATTTCCTCCCAAGTGGTTGGGGGATATTTCATCAATCGGCTCAACAGTTTTCTAGTCGTTCTTGAACCATCTCTACTCAACCTGTTCTGGAAAGCTGTGACCGCTATCCCTTCGGATACATTCGGTAGAGTCATTCTTACTCTATTGAATCGGGCGAGGAAGTCCCTTAGTCCCTCTCCCAAGGACTGCTTGATAGAGAATATGTCGTTTACTCTTGCTTCGGCCTTCTTGGCTCCGGCATGGGCGGTTACGAACTTATCAGCCATTTCCTCGAAAGTTTCTATGGAGCGAGCTGGTAGCTGTGAATACCATGTTAATTCCCCTCCCATAAGGGTTTCGCCAAACTTCTTCAGCAAAATAAAGGACACTTGTTCCTTGGCGAGGTCGTTGCCTTTCACGGCGGTGATGTAATGAGTCACATGATCCTCAGGACCGGTTGTTCTGTCGTATATCCTGAGGTAGGGCGACATTTTGAAGGTCTTTGGTATGTCATGCGGAGCTGCGTCATTGCTATACAGTTGCTCTACGAACCTACCGGCGTCCCTTTTTGGCAACAACTTAGGAGCGCCCGGTATCTTATTGACTCGTTCTTGGTGTTCTTTCATCTGGTCTTGGAGTGCTTTGTTTTCATTCTCCATTTCTTCCATCCTCTTTTTGACGACAGCTAGGGAGATGTCACCTACACTGTTAGTAATATTGTGAGTTATATCTATCCTCGGAAGGCTTGGTCGGTTGCACTGCTCGTCTGTTTGTTGCATCATGCAGGCTCTTGCGGTTTTTGTAGTCATGCTTGGAGTGGTTTTGTTGAGGACGCTCACTAGCGTGTCGGTCAGCCATACTTGGCGGAGTTTTTTCACAGCTGGGGGCGTCCCTTCTTCTGCGGATGTAGAGGGCCCTTTTCCACTTGGTTTTGTTATGCTGCAGTAGGGGGGATGCGACCTCTCACGCCTAGGGGACGTGTTGGGCGTCACGTCCTCGCCTACTGTTTCGCAGCTCTCGTTGATAACATTCATGAGGTTGCTAGGGAAATCACTCGTTATTTTTGCTGTTTCTCCTTGGTTACCTACCATGTAGGTTATTGTGCATACAAAGAAAGGAGATCTCGGGGTTCGTGATGTTAATGACTTGCGTCAGCTGTAGATCTAGAGGAAACTAAAAATTTAACTAACAAATCCCCACAGACGGCGCCAAATTATTTGACCAAAAAATATATAGATCTTGGTTCAACTAATTAAATTTATACTAATGAGGGTGACGAGGCTAATGTGTATTGGAATTTCCTGCTCGTTCTCTGTCAAATTCTAGTATAGTTTAAGATATCGTTCTACAGAGACTAGATAATCTATTCTACAGACTTGTAATATTCTAACTACTATTTAAGAGAATCAAATTGATGAAAAGTGAGTGAGGTTTAAAACTTGTTAATTACTTAAACAAAACAAATAACTTTTGAAAGATTTATAATTTTTTAAAAAAGAGTTGGGAATCATTGAATTCACTTGATAATATTACTATAATAAAATCTCAATTTCTACATTTATTTCTTTAAAGAATAATTACTTATTTCTAATACAATTATATTTTGCTCACTAAGAAATAACTAATTAATAACACTATGTGAGAATTATGTTAATTAATCAACTTAAGACTAGTGACGTTTAAACCAAAATATTTTTCTTGCTTGAATTGTGCTAAAAGAAAGTAAGAACTTCGTGAGAATATTTTTACTAAGGATCAATAATCTTGCCTACAATAATTCCTCCGTGAGAATTACAAAATTAATATATGAATAACTTTGAGATAAAATATATAGAAGTGATAATAGAGTAATTAAAAATCATCATTTCAGCATAGTATGAAATGTAAATAAAAAGTTTCAAGCCAAGAATATATAAAAACTGAGATAGTATTATAAAATATATCAAAATTCATCAAGTATCCCAACGAAAAGAGATTACTCCATTATGGAGTAAGAAAAGCTAAAAAAGATATTTAGAAGAGTAGAAATATTTAAAAGACTAAAAAATATTTTTACTACAAAGAAAGAAGACCAAGACTAGTTCTTGTCTTGCAAAAGATTGGATATCCTTATACAAAGAGAGCTTGCTATTTATAGGAAAAGATGAGTAGTTTTGTCATGTGATGCTAGTGATACATCAGTTGGAGCTGTTTTAGGCCAAAGAAAGGATAAGATCTTTCGTCCCATTTACTATGCTAGTAAAACAATGAATGAGGCTCAACTAAATTATGCCACAACAGAAAAAGAGTTACTAGAAGTAGTATGTGCTTTTGATAAGTTTCGATCTTATATGACAGGAACCAAGGTCACTGTTTTTACTGATCATGCAGCTTTAGAATACCTCTTAGCAAAGAAAGATGCTTGACCTAGATTGTTAAGATGGATTTTACTTCTACAAGAATTTGACCTTGAGATAAAAGACAAAAAAAAACAGAGAATCAAGTAGCTGACCATTTGTCTACATTAGAAAATCCCCCCTTGAGTATGGCGAAATAAAGGAAGAATTTCCTGATGAACACATTTTCTCCGTTAACTCAATTGTGACTCAACCACCCTGGTTTGCAGAGATTGCAAACTACTTGGTTGGAAAGTGGACACCCGAAGATCTCTCTTACCAGTAAAGAAAAAAGCTTATATCTGATATAAAGTATTATTTGTGGAATGAACCTTACTTGTTTAAAAATTGTGCAGATAATATCATTAGAAGATGTGTGCTTGTAGAAGAGATGAACAAAATTTTATATCACTGTCATGATGGAGCAATTGGAGGTCATTATGCAGCAAATCGAACAGCCTTTAAAGTTTTATAAGCTGGATTTTTCTGGCCGACTCTCTTTAAAGATGCCCGAGCATATGTTGCCCAATGTGACAGGTGTCAGAGAACAGGTAACATCACTAAGAGAGATGAGATGCCATTTCAATCAATGCAGGTGTCATGACCCAAAATCCATTAAAGGTCGTGATGGCGCCTAATACCACTGTCAGGCAAGACAACAATAAAAGTTTAACTTAATTACTCATTTTATTATTTTTGAAATCGTAAATTTCTTTCAATTAAATAATCAGAAATAAAATTTACAGAGTAAATGATAATATTTTCCCAACTACAATACTGAACAACTCATAAGTACCCCCAAAGTTCGGTGTCACAAGTGCATGAGCATCAACTAGGAAGTAAAAATAACATACATCATCTGTCCGGAATATAAATTAGACAGGAAAAATATAAATAACCCTGAAGGAGACTCTGCTGGTTACGGATCATAACCTGAAATGCAGCTCGCGGCAAGTCCCGACATCATCCATGCCTCCGTACCCAAAGGACCACCAGACATAAAAGTACCTGCACAAAAATGTGCAGCAAGTATAGTATGAGTACGTAAATCCACGTGTACCCAGTAAATATCTAGTCCAACTCCGGAGGAGTAGTGGCGAGGGGTCGACATCGACACTCACTAGTGGTCCAATAATACCAGGTACAGTAAGGAGGTGAACAAATATGAGGCAGAGTAAATAAATAAATTAAACAAGTGTAAATCTGTGATACAATTATCCTCCTTATAATAAACTCAAGTTCATAATTAGCAATTCCTCCTCAATCGGAGCATATATATATATATATATATATATATATATATATATATATATATATATATATATATATATATATATATATATATATATATATATATATGTATGTATAATGGACCTCACCATATAGGTTGTTATGATTCGTATCAGGGAAAGACTCACAGATACTCTGGCTTTTTTCCAAATATTATGCACGATTCAATGAGGATATTTTTATAGAAATGCCGAGGCGTACGGCCCGATCCAACATAAATATTAAACTGTGCACTGCCGAGGGTCGAACGGCACAAACCATAGATGCATCTATTAAACTACCGAGGCGAACGACCCACTCCCATGAGAGTGTGGTACATAAATCCTGCCGAGGCGAACGGCCCGATCCCATTAAAATAAGAAGTTTAAATGGGTCCTTGACCCTCACTCATGAATGAACATGTGAGTTATAATTTTTAAGGAAACTTATTCGATGACAACGCATAATGCATGAGAAATCCATAAGAGGAACACCATTATTCTATGGCAAATCATAAAACTCGCGAAAACTCTACAATAGCAAGTCCATCACTCTACGCATGTCTAGTCTCAAGTCATAATGCGAAATAAAAGAATTAGACGAGCAAGGATAATCCCTATAGTACAAGTACAACATGATGTAAACCTAAGTCTACCTGGACAATAACATGAATCTAACTACGTACGGACTCTTGTCACCTTGTGCGTACGTAGTCCCCGCAACAAGTTAGACATATTAAATATATCACCTAGGGGTAGTTTCCCCCTCACAGAGTTAGACAGGAGACTTACCTCACTTTGAAGTTCCGTAACCGGCTCTAACGCCGCTCTAACACCTC